GATGGCCATCGTTCGCTCTGTAAGGCTAAAAACCTTACGCTAACTGGAGTGCTTCTCTCTCATTAGCGCTCCAGTTAGGGTAAGGTTTTTAGCCTTCGAGAGCGAACTATGGCCATCGAGGACTACGAAGCATCCCGTGGCTTGACGTACATTCAAATAAACGAAAAAAACCTTCCACTAACTGGAGCGCTAATGAGAGAAAAGCGCTCCAGTTAGCGTAAGGTTTTTAGCCTTCGAGAGCTAACTATGGCCATCGAGGACTACGAAGCGTCCCGTGGCTGGCTTAAAAGTTCATTGCATGCCAGGAAGTATTTGTTATTGTTAGATTCAGACGAGGATGGACGTTGCATTGCTAAAATGGCTACAAAAAGGACCATTGGATGTCAAACAGCTAAGACAAGAAGAGCTCTGATGCTGGAAGAGAGGGTAAAAGTGATCAAAATGAAAGACGGAGCAAGCAAAATAAAAGACATTGTCCAAGAAATTGGTGAAAGTGAATGCTGATCGTAAATTTCGCAATTTCTTTCCCTTTTTTTCTTTCTACACTGACAATGTGAAGTGTCAAATAAGCGTGTGCCCATATTTATGCACTATTGGAATAAAAATAGAGTACACATACGTTTGTGTGTGTGTGTGTGTGTGTGTCTGTGTGTGTGTGTGTGTGTGTGTCTGTGTGTGTGTGTGTGTGTGTGTCTGTGTGTGTGTGTGTGTGTGTGTCTGTGTGTGTGTGTGTGTGTGTGTCTGTGTGTGTGTGTGTGTGTGTGTGCTTACATCTGAGATCAAATTTGCTACAGTGAAAAACCCCCTGTTGTGAAAAATTTCTTGCTGTAAACATGATTTCGTTGTTGAGGAGTTTCACTGTATAAAGTAATCTGTTCTGACGTGGGCTTTTTGTTTTCAGCACAGTTCTCCCCGTGCAAAAATCCTCCGGCGAACTCGCACCCTCTCTGCCTGCATCCTGAGTTCTTTTTCTGTTTTGTGAATAAACTGCGGCCACAGCGGCATTTTACCACCTGTCACCATCCCTTCCTTTTGGGGTACAGACTAAGAAAGCCTTAATGAATTATCTATCTTATTTTGTTTTATCTTTCATTTTCTTTCACCGGAAAATGAGATCCCTCACACCATATTCTGTTGATCCTGCTTGCGCGGAAGTCTCTCGCTGGTCATGTGTAGGCATCATTGCTGGTGACTACACTCGGTTCGAGGCACAAGACTGGAGACGTTTTGTTTTTATTTTTCTGTGTGGTCGCTACCACTGAGTCGCTAAACACTCGATGTGCCTCAGCGCACCATCACTGTCAGAAGCGAACTGCAGGGAAGCACCATCCCCTTTTATTTACATGGACCCAGAACATGGTATCCTTCCACATAACATAGTGCCACACATTGAAACAATAGTGTCAGTGGCAAACATCGTACTCAACACCCCCACTCGATGGTGCCACATGCACTAACATTACATTAGTTAACAAACATATAAACCAATCTTGACCCTTGTAAGTACCCATACACGTACTTTAAAGCTTGCGGGGCCACTTGCGGGCCGCCCGTTGCCATTTCGTGAACTACACCATCATTGAATCTGTACTGTACATAGTACCGAACAATATAAGTTGAGTAAATATAGCATAAACTGGATGTTTCATTTTGCTGATACCATATTATTAGAAAATGAATCTTGAGATTGTATGAGATGATGACGATATGTGATTGGAATTCAATTCTGGATTTGTCTGGCATCAATTTTTTCCTTCTTACAGAGGAGGTTCCTTTGTCTTAATGTATTTGACAGTGCTTTTATTCGATCAGCATCATGTTTGTATGATAAATTACACTAAACTTGGGGAGAAATGCGGACTGAATAAATACAAAATATAAGAAACAGCATGTTTATTCAGCGTGGACCTATTGAGAGAGAGAGAGAGAGAGAGAGAGATACAAGGGAGTCGAGAGGAATAAGCAGGGGATAGGTGCTAAAATATACAGTGAGAACAACTCAATATGGCAGGCGTGCAGCAAGAACGGGGTGCCATGCGAGTTGTGCTCTGTAGACGACAACAATGGTACTGATATTGATTGGTTTTCAACAGGAAAAGAAATGCATGTGGTAAAATAATATTATTCTCATCGGGTTGGTGAAGGATTGGGGATATCTTTTTGACTGTCAAATATTAATTGATGTTACAAACCTGTAAGCAGAATCGAGAACCCCAAAGTAGAGCTAATACAACTTGAGAAACAAAAATATTTCTCCCCGTGGCTGCGTGGGTTTTCCCTGGCTACTTCGGTTTCTTTCAATATTCTAAAAACCATACACGGTAGGTTAAGTGAACACCCTAAACTATTGATGAGTGTGATTGTGAGTGTGAATGGTTGTTCGTCGATGTGTGCCTTGCAATTGGCTGGCGACCAATTTACGGTGTACCCGCGTCCACTGCCCGAAGACTGCTGTGATAGGATCCGGCATGCCTGCTTCTGAGAAGAAGCGATTCAGAAAATGGATGAATGAA